TTTTTTTCGGCCCCACCACCTCCCTCCCTCCCTCCCTCGCTCCCTCCCTCCAGGAATCCAGCGCTGCACCGAAGCCAGAAGAGAGGGAGCAAAACCCAGCCCAGGCCGAGAGCTGCGTCCAGAAACCAAACCCGCCCTTCGCGTCGCAGAGGAGATTTTTTTTTTAACCATTATTATTATTATTATTTTTATTTTTAATACCCCTGACCCGAGCACGGTGGCGGCAGCGGCGCCGGGGCAGGGAGGCTGTCCCGGTTATTTATTCTCTCCCCGCAGAGCTGTCCCTCCGGCTCACCATGATGTTCCGAGACCAGGTTGGCGTGCTGGCCGGGTGGTTCAAGGGCTGGAACGAGTGCGAGCAGACTGTTGCGCTGCTCTCCCTGCTCAAACGCGTCAGCCGGACCCAGGCTCGCTTCCTCCAGCTCTGCCTCGAGCATTCCCTGGCAGACTGCACCGAGCTCCACATCCTCGAAGGGGAGGCCAACAACCCCGGTGAGTGCTGGCGTTTGCTGCGACCCTTCTAAATGCCGTCGAAATTTTGAAATAAATAAACCCAGTTAAATGAATTGGGTGCGGTTTGGGAGCCGGGGGCTCCCCCCACGCCACACACAGCTCGGTTCTTCTCTGCTCACGTTTTATTTTCCAAACGGGGTTTGGTTTATTTCAGTTTGGTTTATTTCAGTTTGGTTTTTCACAGCAAACTACTCCGCTCCATGGCGTGGTGTAACTACGGTAGCATGAATGATTGGTGGCTTTTTTTTTTTTTTTTTTCCCCCCCGCGCCCCCCCTTCCTCCTTCCATGCAGTTTCCTGTGAAATAAGTAAGTCAGGTCACGTAGAGTCTGGATTTTCTAGGCTTCTTTTGGGCAACGTGGCTTGCTTTGCTCTCTGCAACATGCAGAAGCAGCCCATCGCTACCTCAGACGAACTGTTATTGTATAAAGGTCTGGGCAACTGGGTTATCCTATTTTTTTTTTTTTTCCCTGTTAAATGTGGCAATTCCTATTTCATCATTCAGATCCTGTTTGGACGCATTTTTTTCCTGCGGCTCTGAATACCCCCTTGTGTTTCAGCAGAGCTTTAAGAAAATATGAGTGGACTGTTTCATGTTACTGAGCGTGCAGGGTGCAGGACAGAAAATGTGCGTGGCTACCGAAAGTGTATTTTATTTATTCGCCATTACAAGTTGCTCAACTCCTCTAAAGTAAATGTGAGTTGGAGCAGGATGGAAATGGCACAAGCGCCGTGCGAACTGCACCGTGTGTTCCCGTTTATTTATGGGGGGGTGTGTTACAGATGCGTGTGTTCCTAAGTGTGGATGTACACAGGGATGCAAGTTGCTTAAAGTAGAGTTTCTGTAACACAGAGGGAGGGTCAGTAGGGAAGGCAAAACGTCATTTAGCTGCACAGTTATGTTCCTCCAACACCTCTCAAAAAAAAAAAAAAAAAAAAAAATCTTGCAACCCATAAAAATCAAAGCAACACCCCATTCCTAAGCACCAAATTCCCCGGGGCTGGAAGCTCTCTGGGTTTGGGCTGTGCGTGGCAGAGCAGTGCCGGGGAGCGGCCGCCTGCGTTCCGTGATGGGTGGAAATTTGCGGCCGGATCCCGAACAGAGCCCCCGGTGTGGACGGGGCGGGAGGAATGCAGGGTCCTTCTCCAGCTGTTCCCTATTAGAGCACCGAGCCGGCAGGATTTGGCAGCTGCCTGTGCTGCCATTTGATGACAAGGTCCAGCGCAGCGCCGTGTTCCACCGAGGACGGATTTAAGTCCTTCTGCAGGAAACCAAGGCTGGAGCTGCTCCGGCGCAAAGGGATCGGGGCTGGCTACAGGGGAGCCAGGCTGGAATTGGCCGTTCCCTTATATAGCTCGCAGGAATGAGAGGGAGGAATGCTGCCGAGTGCGTCTGGGCGCAATACTGCTGCTTTTATAAACAGCTGAAGGGATGAACCTCATCCATCCCTTTGGGTGGGGAGGCCCCGGGGGGAGGCCGGGAGGGAACACATTCTCCAAACTTGGCTGCTCCTGGATTAATCTGCAGCTTCCCCTGCCAGCTTCAGCACAGGTTTGCTGCGATTCCCTCTGTGAGTCGGTGTGAGCGATATATTTTTAATTTTTTTTTTTTTTTTTAATGACCATCTCAGCTTTTCATTCCGGCTGTGGGTTTGGCGGTAGCCGTGTCCCCTCGGCTGGCCAGGGAATTGGAGGGGTTGATTTGCCTCCTGCCATCAGGAAAGGCGAATTGTGAAGGAAAAAAGGGCTCTGAAGTGGTTTTGGACACAGAGTCACGTAGGGCTGTCTGTCTGGTGGCATTTTCTCGGTGTAAGCCTGAGTGCAGACCAGGGGTTGGGCCCTTCCCATCTCCACTCGTGCGAGCAATCCCTGCTTGCCCCTGTAATCCCATTGACCTTGCTTGGCGTGAGGATTTCTCCTGTGTGCAGAGCTTGGCATCCAGCCTCCTGCCTGGCCCTGGCTGCCTTGGTGGAGCTGCCTGAGCTCTCCCTGGCGTGCCTTCCAAAAAGGATCTCTTCCTCCAGGGCATTTGTAACTCCGATGCCAAAACCTGGATCCACTGAGTTCCTCTTTCTCACCAAGCACCTCTCCGTGTGGCTTTCCCATGGGGTGGACATATCCATGCATCCTGCAGAGCAGGATGTGCACTTTGCCAGGCAATCCTGTTGCAGCGCAGGGAAGGTTAGCTGAGATTTGTAACCAGGCTCAATTAGGAAATACCTTTTAGTCTCCTGTGTTAGTGCTGCCTTCCTAAAGCCACCTGTAATCCTTAAATCGCTCCTATTCCACGCCTGTTTGGCAGTCTGGCACTTGTCACTTGCCTGGCAATGGAATCGCACCAAGTCCTGAACAGCAGCGTTGTCATCGAACCTTGTGTTACTTCGTTACTCTTTGAATCCTGGTGTTTGCATTACTAATTTGGGCTCGATTCCTTCCTGGGCTGGGGCCTGAGGTGTCTCCTGGTACATTTTCCTGGTGTTTGCCGACTTGGAAACAGTGGCTCTCTGCTTATAGGTGCCCCTATAAGTGTGTCCCTGGTGGGGGCTGTTAAGGCAGGGGGTGTTCCCTTTCCATGAAATCTGCTGTCTGGGAAAGGGTGTCACCAGCTGAATGTAACATGCTGAGCTAATGCACTGGAGCAGGTGTTGGAATTGCACTGGGTCCTTGTGAGAATGGAGTTGTTTTGTACGTGCAGGACCTGGAGAGGTGGGAAAATGGAATGTTACCCCGGAGTGATGATGCTTAGGAGGAGGTGGCAGCCCTGCTGTGGTCTGTGGTAGATAGGCACCATCCTTGGAAATTTTATCACCAGCTACAGAGATCAGGAGGGGTCACAAAGGGAGACCAGGGCTCAGAGATCCTCTCTGACTGGTGGTGCTGTGCTCAGATCCTTCAGGTGTGGAGGAAAACCCATTTCAGCAAAGGTGTCCCGGTTGTTTCTTGCCTGGTAGACTGCAGATGAGAGGTCTGATGAATGGCAGATGTGGTGGGAAAACTCAAGGAAGAAAAATAACTCTTTTCTCTTCTTAACTAGTTCATTGCCACAAAGAAATAAGTATATTTAGTTTGAAGGAGTCCTATCTTGTTTTTTTTTTCCCAAGTGTGAGGGTGTTTTCATAATGACATCCTCATCAGTACTGCAAACCAATGTGGCTCTGCTGTGTACAGCTGTGTGTGACCCTCAGAAACAGGGGTGGGAAGCAAACGTGGAAGGACATCTATACATTCTTCATTAGGTGAAATGTACAGCTTGGGATTGTCCTACACAGGGGCTTCACTGAGCTTTAATGGTTTAAACTGGTGAAGAGTGTGGGTTGCTGCTAATTCAATTTGAGCGTGAATGGCTTGGTCTGCTGAGAAGGAGCAGAATATGGAAACCATATTATCCCTGCACAGAAATAGAAGTTTCAGGTATTGCATAGCACTATTTAAAAGCCTGCTATAACTTCCTTCCTTCCTTCCAGCCTGGCCTTGCTGGGCAGCTTCAGTCCCAGCTGCTCGGAGCCGTCAGGACGTGGTGACCTCCTCTAAGCTGCCAGTAAAGGTCAGGCAGGAGTGGGGTGAGCCTTGTGGTGGGAATGGGACCTGTGCTCCTCCTGGGGCACCCAGGGGTGCTGGCTGTGGCTGCTCTGTGGGCTGCACACCCACTGAGGAGATGTGGGGGCTGTATCCATGAAACATGGTCCATAGGCTTTGAGCACTGAATGTGCTTCTGCTTTCATCTACTCCAGCATCCCTCTGAGGTCTTTCCCCAAAGCAGTCCCACTTTCCACCCCACCAGCCCTGGCTTCCTCCTTCCTGCAAGGTTGACAGAAGTGCCCAAAGACTCCTGTAGATCCTCCAGGTGTCCCAACACCCACGTGCACTGATGGAAGCAGTGACAGCTTTAAGCTCCTGGCCTTAAAGGACAGCAAGCTTTCTCTGGCCGGTGCACAGGACATTAACTGCTCCATATGTTAGGGCCAAAATCTTTATTTCATTTCAGCAGGCTGTCAGGTATCACAAGGGGAGCATCAGGGTGACCTAGATTCCTCATCCTGGGCAGGACTGGCCAAAGGAAGAGACAAGGGTTGCAGGGAGCCATAGTGTCTTTTAATAGACCAAGTGATGCAGCTGGAAAAAATGGCCAGGCATGAGGGTGCAAAGGAGGGCTTGTGTGGTTGTGGGGGTTTTTTCCCAACTGTACCAGCTGGTCTATTAAAAGGCATTACATATTCCTGCAGACCTTGCTGCTTATATCCTTAGCTCCCTGTGGCTCCAGCCCTGCATCTATTGCTGCCACCCTAGCCACAGACAGTCTCCTATCAGGAGACTGCTACTCCTGCACTCTAATTCATCCTCAGTGCCCGCCACTGATGCCAAATCATCCCAGTGCCCAATTTGAAGGTGCTTCTCAATTTTAAAATTTTTTTCTTGGCTTACAGTTGCATTGCAATGCTGAGCTCTGGTTTAAGTGTCCTTGGTCTGTGTGAGAGCATTGCTAGGCTGTCACACAGTGGGACTGGAGGAGCTCAGGAAGAGGATGGGGTGAGGAGCTTAGCCTGTGCTTACTGGAAGTGATAGGGAATTCTAAGTGCAGGGCTGGACATTGGCATTGTGTGGTCATTCTACACGCTTGCCTCTGCCTGGAGAGGGATGTGAGCAGCCCTGCCAGCTCTGCTCATTAAAAATTAGGAGCTGGGACTCTTAAATGGAGAGATCACAGAATCACAGAAGGGGCTATTGAAGGTTTGGAAGGGACCTGAAAAATCATCTTGTTCAAACCTCTCAGCTTTGTCCCTCTCAAGGGACAGCTGCCAGCAGACCAGGCTGCTCAGAGTTCCATCCAACCTGGCCTTGAACGCTTCCAGGGATGGGACAGCCCCAGCCTCTCTGGGTGACCTGGGCAAACCTCAGATCTGCTGAGCTGTTAGACACTTGCTTTAAACCTGCCTGTTGGTGCTTGACCTGCTGCCACACATCTCTCCCAGGTTTTGTTTG